GTCGGCTGGGCACCGGCGCTTGATGTGCAGATTTCGTGGCAGGCGCACAGATCTCGTGGCAAGCGCAGCGCTTTGTGAACCTCCATGTGCAGATTTCGGGGCAGGCGCAGCACTGTGTGAACCTCTATGCGCAGATTTCGTGGCAGGCGCAGCACTGTGTGAACCTCGAGGTGCGGATTTCGTGGCAGGCGCAGCGCTTTGTGAACCTCCAGGTGCAGATTTCGTGGCAGGCGCAGCACTTTGTGAACCTCCATGTGTAGATTTCGTGGCAGCCACAGCACTGTGTGAACCTCCATGTGCAGATTTCGTGGCAGGCACAGCATCTGTGGAGCTGGAAGCTGAGAACTGGCGACTTTGTAGTGCAACTTTAGTATGCGGAGCAATCTGGTGCCAAGGGGTCGGATGTACGCCGGCAGAGCGCCGGCTGGGCGCCGGCGCTCTGCCGGTGGCCTTTGCGTGCTGTGCGCGGCGCTTGCTGCTTGCCAAGGGGCTGGGCACAGGCGCGCTGCCGGTAGCATTTGCGTGCTGTGTGCGGTACTTTTCTGTTAGTGATATGTTATGAACGGTTGTGGAAGGCCAACAACATATCACACACACACAGCTTCCACGCGCACCACATCGCACAGAACCAGAAGCAACATAACATCCGACGCACAGCATCTCAGCCTTAGTCCGGCTCTCAGTCTCAGCTGTGGTGTTTTTCTGTTCCAGATGCAAGTCTTCCCGAGTTTTCACTCTGGCATACGTTTCTTGCTTCTTGTGGTTTTGCGAAGATCACGTACAGGGTTCACTCACAGAATGATCGCGGGAAATTGTTTGTGCTTGGGTGGCTATTTCGTGACTCCATCGGATCCTCGGCAGTGGAGTTTGCTCGGCGCTCAGTGCGAGTCACTCAACATCAAGTGAAGTCCAGGTGTTCAATATCGGAGATGGGTAAGCTGTTTTATTTGAGTTGGCATTGATAAGCTGTTTTATTTGAGTTGTCCGTAACAGACCATAGCATCAATGCCAACTCAAATCGTTGGTTTTGGTGATATGATCCCAAGAATGTCTCAAATGTATGTCTTCGATTGACATGACCTGTTGCTATTGGATGACGTAGATGTGCTCACGCCTTCTTTCTGATTGAGGCGTCTTGCTGATTTCAGATGCATAGATAGACCGTGAGCACGCATCGTTGGTTTTGGTGATACGATCCCAAGAATGTTTGAAATGTATGTCTTCGATTGGCATGACCTCTTACTGTTGGATGATGTAGATGTCCTCACGCCTTCTTTCTGATTGATACGACTTGCAGATTTCAGATGCGTGTATGGAAGGCGCCGCCCATCGCTACAGAATGAAGAGATGAAACTTTGGAAACTTTGGAATCTATGTATAATTTTGCTTCTGTCTGATTATTGCGACTTGCCGATTTCAGACACGGTTTTTCAGCAGCGTGATGGCCGTCACTAGATGACGATGGGATAAGTGCGTGTTGAAAGAAAAACATGCTTCCACCTGCAGATAATTTTCATGGTTTGTACACCTGGTGTCTTTCGGCGCATTTGAGATCTTGTCTCCTCTAGTCGCCTCCGAGGTCGTTGCCTGCGCTCGTTCACGGGAGCTGAAAGCTACGTAGAGTCAACCGTATGAGTCAACCGCATGAATCGGTATGACCAGTATGCATCTTCCTGCTCAGGACACTTGGACCAGTTCGTCTCCGACGGCCGACTCTCTGACGAGATACACACAAACGGATACACGCAGATACACACTGATGAACAGACACATACACACAAACACCTACCTGCACACAAGCGTCATACAGCGTGCATCCACCCACACACTCATACACACTCACGGACAAGCGCATACCTCGCCTACACACACCGACCCTTACGCATTCTATTTGTCTCGCCTGTCTCTTCCCCATGCTCACTCTTCAGCACCTTATGTCTGCAGCTTCAATCTTTCGAAGTTGTTCCCATGTGGGGTTATCCGGTCCTATAATTGTAGAGCTCGAGCTTGTGATGCCAGACGTCTTGTTGACCCAAGCACGGCTGCGATATCTAGGTCACCTTGCAGTCAAGGGACAGGCACTCTTTTGGGCAATGGTTCAAACTGAACAAGTTTGGTGGACGCTCATCCAAAAGGATTTCGAGTGGCTGCGTTACTTTTGCCCGACAGAACCTTGTCCGTGCCCAACTTCCGAGTGGAATGATTTCGCTGAATATGTGTGTGATGCGCCTATGAGGTGGAAGAGCCTTATTAAGCGAGCGGTGAAACGTAGTCAGAACTTTGCCGAGCGCAAGTACAAATGACCAAAATGGCATGAAGCCATCTTTCGAAGTGTGCGATCGTGTCGTTTGGTGCCAGGCTGCGATTTCCACCATATGCAAGGAGAACATTACTGTTTGCAACGCCGACGAGTTTTTGAATCAGCGGCAGCATGTGCAGTACACTCCTTTAAGCAGCATGATAGACCTACTTTTGTTCGTGAATTTGTCACAGGGACCGCTTGCGAGTCATGCCTACGGGCTTACTCACGACATTCTGACTTACTAAATCATGTCAGATACAGTCAAGATTGCAAGCAGTTCTACTGCGACAGAGGCCTGGCGGTCTTGCAAGAGCCAGGTGTGAATAGCAAGGTCGACTTTGATGCCCGAGGCACGCTACCTGACCCAGTGCTTCAAGCTGAAGGTCCTAAGGCGATGCCGCTGAGGAATCAAGGGCACCAAAGCTACGCTCAGCGGCAGAGACATGAGCTGTGGGAGCAGTGGAACACTTCTCTGCGTGCAAGCGTTGATTCGACCAGCCTCTTAGAGCTACTTCGTGATGCGACAAGAATTACAACGCTGTACCATGCGGAGATCACAGCAAGCATGGTTGCATGGAGTCAGCTCCCCGAGGTTGTCGAGGCCTTTTCTGCCTTAAACGCCTGTGATGTTGTACAACAGTTTTTAGACCTTGCATCTGCCTCTTGGTTTTTGAGCCGAGACCTACCTACGGAGGTGCCAAACGAGACTGTTGAACACTTTTTTGCAGTGCAAGGCATTTGCATGGATATGCTTCCGTGCATCATTCCAGATGCACCAAGATATAAGCCCATGATGGTAGCGCATTGTTCTCAGGGACTCGTCGAGAGCGAGACCTCAATTCTTTTGGGAGCAGATGGGTTTTACTGCGCTGTCCATAGACATCATTTTCCACAAGGAACTGGGAGATTTAGGAAGGCCCGAAACCATGGACTTCTTTTTGAAGGCCCTTCAATCCGGCATGCTTGTCGGGTGGGTGGCCGGGCCACCATGTGAGACGTGGAGCAAGGCCCGTAAACACGAGCTTCCTGGAGGACCGAGGCCAGTCCGAAGCCAGCAGATGCCTTTCGGGTTGCAGGACCTTACTTACAAGGAGCACATTCAGGTTAGCATTGGGAGCCTCCTTTTGGGGATTTCTTTTACGCTGTTCTGGTACAGTGTGCTCTCGGGGGCGACTGCAGTGATTGAGCATCCGGCCGAGGTCGGTTTGGAGCCCAATGACCCAAGTATATGGAAACTTGATGTCGTGGCTTTCTTTTTACGCTTTTCGAATGTGAAGAAGATCCGAGTGCTACAAGGGCACTATGGGGGAGCGACCCCTAAGGCCACTGACTTGTTGATCTTGAATGGTGGCAGTGACCCTGAACAGATCCTCGTGCAGTCTCGTACGACCCTCTTGCCGAAAACATCGGCAATTGGTAAGAATGATGACGGGTCATGGCAAACAGCGGTGCTCAAGCAGTACCCGCCAGACTTTTGCGCTTGTTTAGCGCGACTTTTCGAGGATCAGTTGCACGAGGAGGCCAAGAAGAGTGCCTGCCACCCGAATTTCTAAGCAAGGTCGAACACTTTGTACAGTCTTTCGACCAGCAGGCGACGATGGGGCCAGACTTCAACGTGTCTGCGTGTAATTTGTAATTTAGTGCACTCTGGTCACAGGCAAACGCCTTCGACGCACAGAAGAGGAAAAGAGGAAGTGTTAAACATTTCAAACTCATGGAAGGCCAGTCAAACCAGTGATTCGTGCGACATTTCTTTGGTTTCTTGAAGTCGGCCTTCTTTTAGTCATCTGAACATTCTTGAAAAGGGCTAACGTGCAGCTGATCGATAAGTTTGGCAAACCCCAATTGCCGGCCAAGAACTGTGCAGACTTCACTTAATGCATACACGAACCCCACATGATTGAAACATGATCTTGGAATGGTGGCAACTGCAGAAAATAAACATGACAACACAATTGATACAAAACACACTCTTGGCAAAGGAAGTCTCCATGCAGTCATTGTGGTTATATGAAACTATACTAGGATATCTATGAGAGGTGGACAACAAAACACATTCTTAAGAAATAGTAGCAGCATCAATGCAGTGAGCACCCGTAGCAACAGTATCAACATTGCTTCAAATGGTTCGAAACAACAATTTCTTTGGCTTCATTTAGGATAGCACTTCGATTGTAATGTTATGAATGGCTGCGTGATATAGTTGCTTGTGCGCTGCAAACTTGGCACACAATATACACGCACTTCGAAAGAAAAAGCAGCCAAGGTTCAGCTACCACGTTGGCTGTAACAATCTCCCAAATTTCTGTCCTCACCTGCCCATCAAAGTGAGGAACACCACTAACAGTGTAGATGATTAATTGCGTTAATGACCCTAGGAGCACAAAAAACAACCTACTTGGAAAACCAAGCAAATTCAATGAAACTGCGACTCACTGCATGTCACCGGAGCCTCCTTGCTGATTTCACCGTTGTCATTGAGAGAGATGTACGTGACAACCTTGTTGACTCGGAGTGCCTCCAGCAACGCCTGCAACTTCAAAGAATCCGAAACCGAAAGCGGCAAAGCTCTGCGGCTCAAAGGGCGCCTTCGCCCCCACAGTAGTGATGCGATTCGAACTGAGAACAATCTTCTTGATCGTACGGTTCTGGTGCAACATCTCGGCTAAAGCCTGCTGAAAGCAGGCGCTTCTCTTCCTGGGATAGTTTTAAATTCCAAAACCCAGCAAGCAAAACGCCCATGCCTCCGCTCCAGCATCGCCAAAGCCACCTTGATTGAGGTAGACACTCGTCACCTGTCGGTTCTCCTTCAAAGCGGCCGCCAAGGCCTGGCTGCTCCGACTGCGCCAGGTTGAAATCAGAACGACCCAAGTCGCCTTCACCTCCTCGTCGCCGTTCTGCTCGCAGAAGAATGTGATAGAATCGACGCCTGGACGTCTAATTTAAGTTCAATTTGTTACTAGTAAGGCACTTGTTACTAGTAGCGATGCACTTGTCCAGGCTGATCAAATCGACGCCTTTGTTCTCCACCAGGATCCGGTCCGCCAAGTGCTGCGAGGCGAGGTGGGGGGACATGTGATGAGAGGCGGCATCGAGTTCGCGAGTGGAGTGGTGTTTGCAGTGGGGAAATGGGATTGAGAGGACCATGTGGATTGAGAGGACCAAACCTTTTGAGGCTTCATTGACAAGCAAATTGTGATATATGAATTAGAATGGGGTATATTCCAAACGCAAACATATTTTTGGAAGGCAAGTTGCTGATTTCAATTACTTGTTCAGTGATGCAAGAGTGCCTGACTTGAGTTTGGAAAAACAACATCAATCTCATCTGCAAATATGTAGACACAGGCACATAAATTAAAGGGTTCTTCAATCCTTGCCATGTTTACCACTAAAACATTGTGATCTCCAGCAAACGAGAATGTGTGAACGTTCAAAAGA